GTGTCTCCAGTGACCTCTAAATTCCTGTGTCTCCAATAAGCCCTGTGCTCCTCTGTCTCCAGTAACTCCTGCACTCCTGTGTCTCCAATGACCCCTGCACTCTTGTGTCTCCAGTGACCCCTGCACTCCTCTGTCTCCAGTGACCCCTGCACTCCTCTGTCTCCAGTAACTCCTGCACTCCTCTGTCTCCAGTGTCCCCTGCACTCCTGTGCCTCCAGTGACCTGTGTTCCATGTGCCTCCAGTTGACTACTGTGTTCCCAGTGCCCCTGCACTCTTGTGTCTCCAGTGACCCCTACACTCCTGTTCCCAGTGACCCCTGCACTCTGTGTCTCCAATGTGCACTCTTGTGTCTCCAGTGACCCCTGCACTCCTTGTGTCCTACACTCCTCTGTCTCCAGACCCACTCCTGTCACCCCTCCTCCTGTCTCCAGTGACTCCTGTGCACCAGTGACTACTGTGTTCCCAGTGACCCCTGCACCCTTGTCTCCAGTCCTGCACTCTTGTGTCTCCAGTGACCCCTGCACTCTTGTGTCTCCAGTCCCCTGTGTCTCCAGTGACCCCTGCACTCCTGTGTCTCCAATGACCCCTGCACTCTTGTGTCTCCAGTGACCCCTGCACTCCTCTGTCTCCAGTGCACTCCTCTGTCTCCAGTGACCCCTGCACTCCTCTGTCTCCAGTGACCCCTGCACTCCTGTGTCTTTAGTCCCCTCCACTCCTGTGCCTCCAGTGACCTGTGTTCCTGCACTCCAGTGAATACTGTGTCCCAGTGACCCCTGCACTCCTGTGTCTCCAGTGACCTGTGTTCCTGTGCTCCAGTGACTACTGTTTTCCCAGTGACCCCTGCACTCCTGTGTCTCCAATGACCCCTGCACTCCTCTGTCTCCAATGACCCCTGCACTCCTGTGTTCCCATGACCCCTGCACTTCCTGTGTCTCCAATGACCCCTGCACTCCTGTGTCTCTCCAGTGACCCTTGCATTCCTGTGTCTCCAGTGACCCCTGCACTCCTGTGTCTCCAGTGACCCCTGCACTCCTGTGTCTCCAGTGACCCCTGCACTCCTGTGTTCCCAGTGACCCTTGCATTCCTGTGTCTCCAGTGACTCCTGTGTCTCCAGTGACCCCTGCACTCCTGTGTCTCCAGTGACTCCTGTGCATTCCTATGTGTCCAGTGACTCTCATGTCTCCAGTGACTTTTAAGTCTCCTCTGATCCCTATGTCTCCACTGATCCCTATGTTTTCAATGTCTCCAGTGACCCCTGTGCCTTCCTTTGTCTCCACTGACTCCTGTGCATTTCTATGACCCCTGACCCCTCCCCCAAGTGTCTCTATTACTCCAGTGTGCTCCTGTGTCTACAGCGCCCCCTGTGTCTCCAGTGTACTCATGCGCACCCCTTTCTCCCTAGTGCACCCCTGTGCATCCATTTGAGTTGAAGTGTGAAGGCTCTGTGCACCCTTTTTTCCACTCAGCCTCTGGTATGCCCCACAGTTATCCAGCCTACTACATTCCATCACTAGCTCCCTTTACTGCTTCACCTCCTTCAGGTACATACCTACAATCACCCGGACTATCATCTTCCTGTGGATATGGCCCCCGATCTGTGACATCCCCGGGACAAATACAGGGGGCAGATCTCCCCAGTGGAGACGCAGACAACAATACCATCCTTACAGAGGATTGACTGAAAGACCTTTCCACACTCCATCCAAAACGTTAAAAAAAATCTTTAATTTGTGAACCTGAATAAATTAAGATTCTATTTTTTGGAGACGGATTATTGTTAAAGATTAATAACTGTGATAAAGACCAGAAAAAAAATGAAAAAAAGCAGAAGGAATAAACATAATAAGGTATCTGGCGATAGAATTGAAATAATAATGGGAAAAATAAATGTGGGAAATCAGACAATGAGCTTTCTGTGTTACAGGTGACACGCATGTTGATGAGTCCCACTGATAATGAGTTACACAGATTACAGCCCCGGACAGGCTCTCGGGGACATCATTAGTGCTTCATGAAGTGTGTTATGGTTTATTATAATGGATAAAGTAATGACCGCGGTGTCACCGTGCCAGCAGCAGATGGGACGGCTCCTGTTTAAGAGTTATGATAATTATTTGTGTTTTTCTTTATGCCCTCTCTGAAAACAATTAAGGCATTGATTAAATGGGCCGAGTCCAATTAGGACCAAGATGGAAGAGCCAAAGGGTTACTTTACATTGCAAAAATAAAACAACAAAAAGCTCCATCCATCCAGAACTCAAATTTTCAGTTTTTTGAGGATGCCGCTACAATTAATAACATAATAGCTTTCTTATTTCTTTCCATGTTTTGTTTGTTTGTAGTAGAAGAAGCACAGTGATCATTTATTGATGGACTAGGAGCTCTAATGGGATATATCACCACTGGGAATCCCCATGAGATGTAATGGATGGCTCAGGCTGACATACTGCTAATTCACCTTTAGGTGGACTGACACTTTAAAACAGTTTCTGATCCACACATGTGAACTGTAAGATCTTGTGGACACGGGATCCCGGATGTAATGACAGGGGAAACTCCTCTCCCATCCTCTGCTGCCTCCCTTTTTCTTCCCTTCCCTTCCCCCCCCTCTTCTGTCTCACTCTCTCCCTTCCTACCTTCTGTTCACTCCCTCCTCCTATCCTCTCCTCTCCCATCCTCTGACCTTTCCCTTCCCACCTCTCTCTCTCTTATCCTCTGTCCTTTCCCACCTCTCCTCTCCCATCCTCTGTCCTTTCCCTTCCCCAACTGACCTCTCTTTCCCCCCTCTATCCTTTCCCTTTCATCTCTCCCTTTCCCCTCTCCTTTTTCTCCTCTCCTCTCCTTCCCAATCTTCTGTCCTTCCCTTCCAAACTCTCCCCCCCCCCCCCACCTGTCCCTTCCACTCTCCTCCCCATTCTTCTGTCCTTTTCCCTTCCCAACTTCCCCACCCCCCCTCCCTCTCCCTTCCCACCTCCACCCTCTCCCATGCTCTGTCCTTTCCTCCTCTCACCTCCTCTTCATCATCTGCTCTCCTCTCCTCTCCCATGCTCTGTCCTTTTTCCCTCCCCACCTCTCCTATTCTGTCCTTTCCTTTCCCCTCCCATCTGTCCTTTTTCATCTCACCTCTCCTCTCCCATCCTCTGTCCTTTTTCATCTCACCTCTCTGCCATCCTTCTCCTCTCCCATCCTCTCCTCTCTTCTCTCTCCCCCTCCTCTGCTTCTCCACTCCCATCCTCTCTTCTCCACTCCCATCTTCCCTTTCCCTTTCCCTCTTCTCCTCCCATCCTCAGTAATTCCCTCCCCACCTCTCCTCTCCCATCTCCTGTCCCTTCCCACCTCTCCTCTCCCATATTCTGTCCTTTCCTTTCCCCTCCCACCTATCCTCTCTTCTCCCATCCTCTGTCCTTTTCTTCCCACCTCACTTCTCCTCTCCAATCCTCTGTCCTTTTCCACCTCTCTTCTCCCATTCTCAGTCTTTTCCCTCCCCACCTCTCCTCTCCTACCCATCCTGTATCCTCTCCTCTTTATCTCCTCTCTCCTCTCTCTCCCTCTTCCCTTCCCATCCTCTGTACTTCCCCTCCTCTCCTCTGCCATCCTCAGTCCTTTTTCCTTCCCACCTCTCCTCTCCCATATTGTGTCCTTTCTTTTCCCTTCCCACCTCTCCTCTCTTCTCCCACCCTCTGTCCTTTTCCTTCCCATTTCTCCTCTCCCATCCTCTGTCCTTTCTCTTCCCACCTCTCCTCTACCATCCTCTGTCCTTTCTCTTCCCACCTCTCCTCTCCCATTCTCTGTCCCTTCCCACCTCTCTTCACTCATTCTCAGTATTTTCCCTCCCCATCTTTCCTCTCTCATCATCTGTCCTTTCCCTCTACCCTCTCCTCTCCTCCATCCTCTCCTCTGCCTCTCCCCCGTCCCTTTCCCTCTTTCCTCTCCTCTCCCATCCTCAGTCTTTTACCTCCTCTCCTCTCCCATCCTCAGTCCTTTCCTTCCCCAACACTCCTCTCCCATATTCTGTCCTTTCTTTCCCCTCCCACCTCTCCTTTCTTCTCCCATCCTCTGTCCTTTCCCTTCCCACTCTCCTCTCTCATCCTCTGTCCTTTCCCTTCTCACCTCTCCTTTCCCATCCTCTGTCCTTTTCCCTCCCATCTCTCCTCTCCCATCCTCTGTCCTTTCCCTCCTCTCCTCTCCCATCCTCTGTCCTTTCCCTCCTCTCCTCTCCTCCCCTCTGTCCTTTCCCTCCTCTCCTCCTTTCCCTCCTCTCCCATCCTCTGTCCTTTCCCTCCTCTCCTCTCCCATCCTCTGTCCTTTCCCTCCTCTCTCATCCTCTGTCCTTTCCCTCCTCTCTCTCCTCTCCTCTTCCCTCTCTCCTCTTTTCCCTTCCCACCTCACCTCTCCTCTCATCTCCTCTCCCATCCTCTATCCTTTCCCTTCTCACCCTCCCCTCCATCCTCTATCCTTTCCCTCACCTCTCTCCTTGTTCTCTTCTCTGCTTCCCTCTCTCTGTCTCCTTTTCTTATTTGCATTCATTTTCACATTGCTTGGTCTTCCTCTATCACCTTGCCATTATTAATTGCCCCCCCCACCCCCGGCACACACACCCAGAGTACATCATCACATGGCCAGGGGCTGCGAATGTAACCTTCTACAACATTATTAATGGCTCCTCCGATGGTCCCTGGACGACTCCCCTTTTGAAGGTAAAGACTGCAATCTGTCACCTCTGGCCGATCCACTGAAAACTACATCCAATTCCGCTGGAGGGGACACCCAAGAACGCAGGCACAGCTGCTGCATCGTCGCAGGCCGCTGCTTCCCTGCAAATAACTCAGGAGAAGCTGCCTCCTCTGTGAACATGGGCACATCTGGGCTCTGCCTGGCACCACGGGGCACACACTCATACATATGCTTCTTAAAAGGGAACTCCGGACACATTACAAATGGAGATAGCTTTTAAATAAAACAAAAATGTCTAAATCATAAAATCAATGTAATGAGCAATTCCAGACCATAGCAAAGCAATCCAAGCAATCACTGCAACTGTGCTAAAGGAGAAAGGTCTGTTCAATGTGCCGTACTAACAACCTCATCTAGAAGGTCTAGAAGACTGCTATTGGCTGTTCATATAAGGGATCCATGGGCGGTGTATGCACCTGACATACAAAATGTTACAGGCTCCTTCCCCCGAAAAGTGATATTTTGGTTATAGTTAGAGATACATTATATTGCCAAAAGTATTGAGCCCCTCCCCTCCAAATCATGTGATTCAGGTGTTCCAATCCCCTCCAAATCACGTGATTCAGGTGTTCCAATCCCCTCCAAATCATGTGATTCACGTGTTCCAATCCCCTCCAAATCATGTGATTCAGGTGTTCCAATCCCCTCCAAATCATGTGATTCACGTGTTCCAATCCCCTCCAAATCATGTGATTGACGTGTTCCAATCCCCTCCAAATCATGTGATTCATGTGTTCCAATCCCCTCCAAATCATGTGATTGACGTGTTCCAATCCCCTCCAAATCATGTGATTCACGTGTTCCAAACCCCTCCAAATCATGTGATTCAGGTGTTCCAATCCCCTCCATGGACACAGGTGTATAAAGTCATCCCCTAGGCATGCAGTCTGCTTCTACAAACATTGGTGAAAGAATGGGTCGCTCTCAGGAGCTCAGTGACTCCAAGCGTGGTCCCGTGATAGGTGGCCACCTGGGCAATAAGTCCATCCGTGACATTTCCTGGCTACTAAATATTCCACACTCAACTGTTAGTGGGATTATAACAAAGTGGAAGCAACTGGGAACAACAGCAACTCAGCCACCAAGTGGTAGGCCACGTCACATGACAGGGCGGGGTCAGCGCATGCTGAAGCGCACAGTGCGCAGAAGTCGCCAACTGTCTGCGGAGTCAATAGCTAAAGACCTCCAAACTTGGTGTGGCCTTCAGATGAACCCAACAACAGTGCGTAGAGAGCTTCATGGAATGGGTTTCCATGGCCGAGCAGCTGCATCCAAGCCTTACATCACCAGTGCAATGCAAAGCGTCGGATGCCGTGGTGTAAAGCACGCCGCCACTGGACTCTAGAGCAGGGGAGACGTGTTCTCTGGAGTGACCAATCATGCTTCTCTGTACGATGGACATGTCTGGGTTTGGCGGTTGTCAGGAGAACGGTACTTGCCTGACTGCATTGTGCCCAATGTAAAGTTTGGTGGGGGATTATGGTGTGGGGTTGTTTTTCAGGGGTTGGGCTTGGCCCCCTAGTTCCAGTGAAGGGAACTCTTAAGGCGACATTTTGGACAATTTCATGTTCCCAACTTTGTGGGAAGAGTTTGGGGATGGCCCCTTCCTGTTCCAACATGACTGCACACCAGTGCACAAAGCAAGGTCCATAAAGACATGGAGGAGCCAGTTTGGGGTGGAGGAACTTGACTGTCCTGCACAGAGTCCTGACCTCAACCCCATAGAACACCTTTGGGAAGAATTAGAGCGGAGACTGCGAGCCAGGCCTCCTCCCCCGACATCAGTGCCTGGCCTGACAAATGTGCTTCTGGAAGAATGGTCCAACCTTCCCATAGACACCCTCCTAAACCTTGTGGACGGCCTTCCAGAAGAGTTGAAGCTGTTATAGCTGCAAAGGGCGGGGCCAACCCAATATTGAACCCTACGGACTAATACTGGGGGGGCATTAAAGGTCATGTGAGTGGAAAGGCCGGCCAACCAATACTGCGGGCAATATAGTGTATCTATGGACTCGGTCAGCCCCTGACTTCTTTTTATGCCTTAAGTGCTTCAACAATGAGATCTTCCTGAAATAATTTCTAACACTGTACTTGGAAGTTTTTGGGTGTTTCCGCCCCCCTCTGTGTGTCTCAGCTCCTCCCTTTACATAATCTATAATATACAATAAATAAGGATCCAGCAGGGATGGTGGGAACCCCTCATAATGTTCACAGTAGGTGTATAGACCCAGAAACTCAGCACAGGGATGGTGGGAACCCCTCATAATGGGCACAGTGGGTGTACAGACCCGGGAACTCGGCACAGGGATGGTGGGAACCCTTCATAATGGGCACAGTGGGTGTACAGACCCGGGAACTCGGCACAGGGATGGTGGGAACCCCTCATAATGGGCACAGCGGGTGTACAGACCCGGGAACTCGGCACAGGGATGGTGGGAACCCCTCATAATGGGCACAGCGGGTGTACAGACCCGGGAACTCAGCACAGGGATGGTGGGAATCCCTCATAATGGGCACAGCGGGTGTACAGACCCGGGAACTCGGCACAGGGATGGTGGGAATCCCTCATAATGTGCACAGCGGGTGTACAGACCCGGGAACTCGGCACAGGGATGGTGAGAACCCCTCATAATGGGCACCCCCAACTTGGCACAGGGATGGTGGGAACACAGGGCGGGGTGTACAGACCCGGGAACTTGGCACAGGGATGGTGGGAACCCCTCATAATGGGCACAGCGGGTGTGCAGACCCACACAAAGACCTCTCCAATAGAGTCCCTAGAGATAGAAGAAACAAGTGATCCCAGGCTATGCACAATCCTCTTTATCACTTGTGTGAATGTGACGTCATTATAAATATCTACAAGTGATTTTTCCTGACCCCGGGATCCTGCAGTATGGAAATGTTCTCTGTGTACAAGTCAGTCCTGGAAGATTAGCTGCACTCAGCCGGTAGCGGGAGCATGCTGAGATTTGTAGTTCCTGAACAGCTGAAGGGTGGCGCGTCTCCCGGGTTCCATCCATTTACATGATACAAAAAGCCCAATAAATGATGGAGTGGCTCTGCGGTGCTGACACAGGACTGGCGGCTCCACACAGCCGGCTCCACACAGAATGAACATTTCAGACAGATCCGGACTAATGAGGTGAGACTGTCAGAGAGCGTCATGGACTGTCATCCATTCCTCCATCGTGGGGGTCTGTATGACGGCACCATTCATAGCAGCCATGTCCAACCGGGGGGGGGGGGGCCTTGCAGCACTTTTTCTGTTGCTGCTGTCCCAGCTCTAGTACAGATCTTCTCCATTGTGCATTACATTACCAAGGGGGGGGGGGGGGGGCACCTAAACAGTCCATTTAATGTACATCTGATCAGGTGATACCACACTACAGGGGTTATGGTGACACAAAGAGGTCAGACAATCAGATTGTAACTTGTATGGCCAGCAAGAGAAAGCAGGTCCAATGTAAGAGTGTGTATGTGCCATGCCTGGCCGATCCCCATGGAGGATGTAAATCAATGTAGGTAGCAGGAACTGTTACTGCACTGCTACTACAACCGCTACTACACTGCTACTACAACGCCTACTACACTGCTACTACAACCCCTGCTACACTGCTACTACACTGCTACTACAACCGCTACTACACTGCTACTACAACGCCTACTACACTGCTACTACAACGCCTACTACACTGCTACTACAACTACAACACTGCTACTACACTGCTACTACAACGCCTACTACACTGCTACTACACTGCTACTATACTGCTACTACAACGCCTACTACACTGCTACTACACTGCTACTACAAACCGCTACTACACTGCTACTACAACGCCTACTACACTGCTACTACAACCCCTACTACACTGCTACTACAAACCCTACTACACTGCTACTACAACCCTACTACACTGCTACTACAACCCCTACTACACTGCTACTGCACTGCTACTACAACCCCTACTACACTGCTACTACAACCCCTACTACACTGCTACTACACTGCTACTACACTGCTACTACAACCCCTACTACACTGCTACTACAACCCCTACTACACTGCTACTACACTGCTACTACAACCCCTACTACACTGCTACTACAACCCCTACTACACTGCTACTACACTGCTACTACACTGCTACTACAACCCTACTACACTGCTACTACACTGCTACTACAACCCCACTACACTGCTACTACACTGCTACTACAACCGCTACTACACTGCTACTACAACGCCTACTACACTGCTACTACAACCCCTGCTACACTGCTACTGCACTGCTACTACAACCCCTACTACACTGCTACTACACTGCTACTACAACCGCTACTACACTGCTACTACAACGCCTACTACACTGCTACTACACTGCTACTACACTACTACTACAACGCCTACTACACTGCTACTACACTGCTACTACAATTCCTACTACACTGCTACTACATTGCTACTACAACCCCTACTACACTGCTACTACAACGCCTACTACACCATTACTTCAACCCCAGTACACTGCTACTACACTGCTACTACAACGCCTATTACACCGTTACGTCAACCCCTACTACACTGCTACTACACTGCTACTACAACGCTATTAGACCGTTACGTCAACCCTACTACACTGCTACTACACTGCTACTACAACGCCTATTACACCGTTACTGTCAACCCCTACTACACTGCTACTGCACTGCTACTACACTGCTACTACGCTGCTTCTTCAACCCCTACTACACTGCTACTACACTGCTACTACAACGCCTATTACACTGTTACTTCAACCCCAGTACACTGCTACTACACTGCTTCTTCAACCCCTACTACACTGCTACTACAACGCCTATTACACTGTTACTTCAACCCCAGTACACTGCTACTACACTGCTTCTTCAACACCTACTACACTGCTACTACAACGCCTATTACACCGTTACTTCAACCCCTACTACACTGCTACTGCACTGCTACTACACTGCTTCTTCAACCCCTATTACACTGCTACTGCAACGCCTATTGCACTGTTACTTCGACCCCTACTATACTGCTACTACACTGCTACTTCAATGCCTACAACACCATTACTTCAACACCCCTACTACACTGCTTCTTCAACCCCTATTACACTGCTACTACACTGCTACTACACCGCTACTGCAACGCCTATTGCACTGTTACTTCAACCCTACTACACTGTACTGCACTGCTACTACACTGCTACTACACTGCTTCTTCAACCCTACTTACACTGCTACTGCAACGCCTATTGCACTGTTACTTCGACCCCTACTACACTGCTTCTTCAACCCCTACTATACTGCTACTACACTGCTACTTCAACCTTTTATACACTGCCACTACACGGTTACCTCAACCCCTACTACACTGCTACTATACTTTTACTTCAACCTTTAATACACCACTACTACACAGTTTCCTCAACCCCGACTACACTGCTACTACACTGCTACTACACCACTACTACTTTTACTGCAACCTTTAATACACTGCTACTATACAGTTACTTCAACTCTACTACACTGCTACTATACTGCTTTACTTCACACTTTAATACACACTACTACACACTTCAACTACACTTACTACACTGCTACTACACCCTACTACACTTTTACTGCAACCTTTAATACACTGCTACTATACAGTACTTCAACCTCTACTACACTGCTACTACACACTATCTCAACCCCTACTACACTTCTGCTACACTACTACTGCACTGCTACTACACCATTA